CGCGTAGAAATCTTGTTACGCCATTTTGATCGATCCATCGTTGAACGCCTTGGTTAAAACGCTAAGGAAGATATCCGCGCAAGATTCTGGAATATATACAGTCCAATACGAAAATATATATATATATATATATATATATATATGTATTTGTTATCAGCTTGGTCAAAACGAACAAAAACACTAACGCTGATGTTTTGAGAGACTTTCTGCACAGAAAATTGGAACGCGGCATATGTTGAAAAATTTTACAATTTTTATAATAGGGGAATGTTTGTTCAGAAGTTTCATAGTTATAGATATAAAAGATTAGAGATATTGTAGATTTCATAATTATAGAATTAATTTAATTGATTAAATGTAATTAAGGAATTTTATAATTATGGGGGAAATTTTGTCAAGAAATTTTGTTGAGAAATTTTAGATATTATAAAAGATTAGAGACGTCATAAATTTTATAATTATGGAATTAAATATAATTTAGGAATTTGGTAATTATAGGGGAAATTTTGTCAAGAAATTTTGTAATTACAGGGGAAATTTTGTTGAGAAATTTTAGATATTATATAATTATAGATATAAAAGATTAAAGACGTTATAAATTTTATAATTATGGAATTAAATATAATTAAGGAATTTCGTAATTGTAGGGGAAATTTTGTCAAGAAATTTTGTAATTAAAGGGGAAATTTTGTTGAGAAATTTTAGATATTATATAATTATAGATATTATAAAAGATTAGAGACGTTATAAATTTTATAATTATGGAATTAAATATAATTAAGGAATTTCGTAATTGTGGGGGAAATTTTGTCAAGAAATTTCATAATTTAATTAGAAGATGATTCTACTGATTGAATCGAAGATTATATAGTCACGTGCACGTGTGCGATTTCGTTTTATACTCTTCTCGAGCAAAAATCTTCTCTGCTTTCTTTTTTCGATCCGAGGTTTTCGAACACAGCTAGAAATTAACCCTCCCGTTTCTCCACAGATCGGTCGTGCGTAAAACTGTTCGATCGATTCGCGAATATCGTTATCTGCCGTTAACGAAAAAAAAAAAAAGAAAAAAAAAACAAATGAACTCTCTAATCAGTTGGAACGAAACTTATTGAATTATCGATGAACTATCGTCGGGGAAAAAAGTAATCGTCGAGTCAAAAGTTCAACTAACAGGTCATAAAATGTGTCTACGAGTCACGTGACAGACGTGACAAAAGAGAACAATCATTTATCGAAAGAACGATTGAGTACGTCGCGTTCGATGATTATTAACACGTTCCGTGCCATGTGTACCACCGGTGGTACACGTCGCCTGAAGATCAAGTTTAACGTGTGCCACCAGTGGTACACGCAGTCATCTCATATTTATTTAATTTATTTGCCACGTGTATCACCGGTGGTACACGCAGTCATATTTATTTGATTTATTTACATTTCTTTGCAATCGAACTGATCGCAGCGCCACGTGTACCACAAGTGGTACACGATGTGATAC